TCACAGGTCAGCAGTAGAACACCCCGAGAACACAGAAGGACGCTCACAATATCACAGGTCAGCAGTAGAACACCCCGAGAACACAGAAGGATGCTTACAATATCATGTAGGTTACAAACATGTGACTTTTTCGTTTCAACCAACTTAAAATGCTTTAAAGCACTGAAACGCAGGTTCGTGTTGGTCATACCTGATGACCCTGTGCACTATTACCAGTGGGTTATGGTTTTCTTCCCAAGTGTGAGGGACCACAGTCATTAGGGAATAAGTTTCTCCTTTCAATTTCTACTGTTAACTTGTAGATCACTGTTATCAACTTCACTTTATTTAAAAATTTCTTTATTATCACATTACAGTCTGGATTATAAACCTTGTTTCCCCCAGACTTGGCCTTACTCTTTGGCCTATGTCTGGACTGCCCCTGGGGTAGAGGGGAAGGCACTGTGGCCGGCTGCCTTCTTGGCAGAGTACTTTGGTCCAAGTCACATGGACCCTGTGGACCCTGGACCCTGCCACCCTCTTCTTCCTCCTAAGTCCAGAAGACCTTGTCTCCTGTTGTCTTCCCCACAAGGGCCAAAGTGCAGCTAGAGGCAGCTCTCCGTTTCAGTTGTTCATTAGTTGGATGGCCCAGGGGCGGTGGTGAAAGGTCAACCAGGGTCAGGGAGCTCAGGCGAGGTCTTCAGATAGGAGTGAGCCCCTGCCGCCTGACCCTGGACCTATCCTGCATCTCCAGCCCAGGTGGCCTGATGTGGGCCTCCAGTGGGCTGGCAGTGCCTCTGGAGAACCTGCTTCCAGTCCTCTCTAGGACGGTTCTTTCCAGACTCCCCGGCCCTCAGGTTGGCCTGGATCTGGCCCAGTTCCCCCTTCCTGTCCTCTCAAACCTGCCTAAAACACCCAGGCAGCAGGTGTGCCTAGGCTCACCTTTATAGATTTGCCACAGAAGTGAAAACCAGTCTTTATTCTTTTACAGGTTCATAGGCTTTCTCTCCTTTCTGTGCAAGTGTGTTTTTTAGAAAGCATTTCCCCAAGGATCCCACTGTTTACCACCAAGATGTAACTGCTCCTCAGCTCAAGGAAACCAGGCTCCGAGGTCAGGCCGGACCCACACTGAGCTCTGTCCTGATCTGCTCCTGGGTGAGACAGGATTTGGCCATTTACCCTCATGGCTCCAGCACCTTGGTCTCTGGTGGGTGGTTCCTCAGCTAAGGAAAGGTGCTGTCCCGTGTCCCCTTCTCCAGATGGCCCCAGGTCCTGCAGCCTCCACTTTCTTCCACCCAGAGCTGTCACAAACCGCTGGTGCCCACGTGCCCAGGAGAGGCAGCAAGTCGCAGGGACGGGGCGGAGGCGAGACGCAGCTGACAGGCTCCAGGTGCAAAGCCTGGTGGAGGACTCCTGCAGAGGGCGGGGTGCAGAGGAGAGGCTCTGGACTCCAGCGAGGGAAGGAGCGAGCTAATTCAAGGAGGAGTGAAGACCACAACACTTGTAAAGCGTTTGAAATTCCTATAGCGCTCGGCCTGGGCTCGGTAGTGACACTTTACCCAACCGCGGGCAGCTCGCACCTGGCTGCGCAGAGGGACTAAGCCTCTCAGCCCTTCCAGACCTGGCCCTGCCGAAGCCTCGGGGTCCGCCCCAGAAGAGACACCCCCCAGGGCCCGCCCCAGCCTACTCGGGCCGGCAGGGGTCGCCACGCCCGGCTCACCGCCCCGCAGCCAGAAGCTGCCTCGCTGAGCGTCCCAGGCGCCCCTCCCACTGCGAGGCGCAGGTGCTTTCCCCGCCCGCCCGCCCTCGGCCTCTGGCAGGGCAGTGGTGCCGGGTCTGCCTAGGCAGGAGGACTCAGGGCGCTTTTTGGTAAAAGGCTAAATAGATTTACACGCTCCGAAGAAAACTAGAGTTATCAGGACTTTACGGAGGTGCTCTCGGTGGGGTGGACAGTTAGTGTGGACAGTTAGTGTGGGAGAACTGTCCATACCCAGGACAGTCCCCACCCTACCAAGAGCGCCTCGGTAAAGTGAGAGTGCCAGCAAGCCGCGGGGAAAGGCGGGGTGGCAGCTGAAGAGTGGCCATCAGGGAACCCCACCTGCAAGACGCTGCTCCTTGGTCGGGGTGGGCGGGAGCTGGCCTGCTGGGCTCTTCCTCTTGCAGTCCAGCATGGGCTCCCTGAAGAGCGTCAGGTCGCGCTGGGGCACTACAGGTCTCCTCAGCACAAAGCAGTGGGGATGCTGTCCAGTCCAACCCGGCGCGCGCTCACTTCAGGGCTCCTGCAGGATGCAGACCAGGTCCAGACTGGTCCTCTGGTTCGGTCCTATTTCTGTAAGGAACAGATAGGTG